TACACTTTGCTGACAGCACTCGTGGTATTTTTGCCCCCAGCGGTGGCAGATGCCACAGAATGACAGCATGCTGAAAAGGATTTGGTGTTAAACATGTTATTTTCTAGTTTTACTTTCTGTACGGTTCCTTGATTTTAGGTGTTACCCAGTATAGCTGTGGCGGAATTTGTGATAACTTCACCTAACCAGAATAAATGAGGCTGAGAAGAGACCTTGCAAAGCCATCTTGTGCATCCCTCTGCCCTGGGGCAGGATCAGGGTCCCCTGAGCCACAGCCCTTTCAGCCAGCCGGCTCCTGTGAACCTCCAGGAACCGAGATTTCACAGCCTCCCCAAGCAATTCATTCCTGCCTTTAACTGTCCTTCTGCTTAGACGATTTTGGCTAATGCTTAAAGTAAATCTCCCTTGCTGCAATTTAAGGCCATTACCCCTTGCACTGTCCCAGGTGGACACAGAGAATGATTTATTACGTAAATTTTCACAATGATTTTTTTAATATATTTGAAGATTGCTTTTATGCCTCCCCTTTGGCCTCCTCTTCTCTAAAGTCACATGTAAAAGATAAAAGAAAACTAATGAACAGAGGTTTAATTAGTTCCATGTAGCAATTTTAAAGTGATATTCTAAAAATAAAATACTTGGAAAGAACATCAGTAAACCATATCACTCAGGAGGATAGAAGGAGTAATGGCATGCCAGTGCGGTTGCACAACAGAGAAATAAGAACTTTGCAAAAGTTCAAATGAACATTACCACTGAGCAAAAAGGCAGTGCTTTAAAAAAAAAGAAAAGAAAAAAGATTGATGGGATACATGCAACCCATGTAACCCACTGAACTAAACTGGAGCTTTGCCTGCTTAAAGACTGCAGGAAGGATGCTTTTGTATTTAAGGACTAGATCGAAACTCAAGAGACAAGTTAATGTTTGGCTTTCCTTGAGACTTCCTTTGTGATTTTGGTAAATTACCCATTGATAAAATGAGCAGTAGCTCCACTTATTTTCTCTTGAACTCTTCTCATTTTGTTTTAGTTGAAAACAAACTCTTTAGGATGGTGGGCTGGCTGTGCTGAAGCATGTGGGACTCCAGCACAGGAGAAGCCAAAGACAGCAGAAACTTCTGACTGTGACTGCATCACAAAATGCAACACCAGGCTACTAAACACGGAATTGCCAAGTATTGGATATATCCCGATGCAAGAGATGTTAAAGGTTGATTGACTGTGTCTATTGGTGATATTGGATCATGCTTATCTTCATAGGATGGCTTGTAATTCAACACTGTAAAAGCAACAAATCTCCAACCCAAAAGTCCAGAGTGAGAATCTAGTTATTTTTGTTTCCTGATGGTTATTTTAATAAGGGATATATGGGGAAACAATATGCTAGTGCTGACTTATGAAAAATATTAAGTAAATGTTGAGATTATGAGCAAAGCATTTAATGCTTTTCTCCAGATGTCTCTGTGAAGCAGGGAAGTGCATGAAATAAGGAATTTTATTTTTTTTTTTCAGAGAATAGGCTGATGATAACAAAGACTTGGAGAATGTCTGCACACTTTGCCTAAGCCAGCTCAGATACCCCTGCAAAGCTATGGAGGAATAGCTGAAGGAGTTGCTGAAAGTCAAAAAAGACATCCATATGCTACAACATGGAGCTGAACTAATGATTTCGGGCAAGAATCCAGAAGACTATTTTTGCGACAGCAAAGCTACTGCTGTCCAAACTGGTAGCAGCATGTCCCCCATTAGAAAATAACCATATATGGATTTACCATTAGTGGCTCTATGTCTTGACAGGCTATGATTTAAAAATAACGCTTATGCTATTAGCACTGCTTCCCTTTATTCTGAGGAGAAACTGGATTACCATGTTCAAAGTTATAAGGTCTCCTATTTTTTGCTGCATTATCCTCATTTTCTGCATTTGATATTGGACACAAATTATTCCTGTTTTTCACACATATAAGTAGGACAAGATTCAGGTCCTACCTTTATATGCATATATATGTATCTTTATATATGGATCTCCATCTCTTATTGCCAGCTAATCAGTTGTAATAGGAATTTCATTGCATCTATTTCTTTTCTGTGCTCTTGTTTACAGCTCTTTGGAGATTTTGCCTGTTATTGCTGCTTATTCATACTCTCCCCCTCAAAAACCACTGGCCAAAATCCATCTATTTTACCTGAAAGAAAAAAATAAACATCTAACACATAATGTGGCAGACACCCTGGCAACAGAAGCGGCAGGCTTTACTCTTTAGTGGGCTGCTTTTTGGCTTCCTATGCACGTAACCAACCTGAGCCCCTGGGCTGTGCATCGTCCTGTTTGGTTGAGCTGCAGTTCCATTTACTTTGGTTACCTTCCAGAGAAAGAATATGATCCTCGCAAATGCTCTTGGATCCTTCAGGCAGGAAACAAGAGCGTTCAGATCCCCTTGCAGTCAAAGCGAGGACACACAGCCATTCTCCAGATCAAGTCCACATTAATGATGCTGCATCTGCCAGACGTGCACAGGCAGCAGGGTTATTAAAAAAACTGCAGATGGTGATTCCGATTCACTTCGCAGCTCACCTCGCTCTTCCTACTGACAGAAAGGAGCATCTTCGACTTAGAGCCCTTAGCACCCCCTCTGTCTTGCACGGCATGTCCTATGCTGGCAGGTGAACTCCACTGAATAACTAAGCCGCTGTAAAATTAAAGCTACACGCTACCCACAGGACGGGGGGAACTTTTAAGACTTCTGAACTGTAGGAAGAAATCTGGTCTCCAAATAAAATAAAGCAAGGTTTTCCCCAAAGTGCTTAACTAAAGGGTATCCATGCCACACTTTTATTTTTCATCCTTTTTTGACCTTTAATTTAATGTAAGTACTCAAGCAATTTTAGCCGTGTTTTCTTCTCAACTTCTCCCACTTTAGGCCACACACACAAAGATCATTCTGTGACTTGACACCCCTCCGTTCTTAAAATCTTATGGTGGGGAGAAAAAAAATGGGATGTTATTTTAAACAACCTCAGACTAGAGTTTTTTTGCCCATTAGGGTACTTATTTATCCATTTCAATTCATGCCTTTTTACGTTGAAAATTATAGCTTTTACAGATTCCTGTAAACTTCTAGGTATGAAAATGGCTCTTTTTCAAAAACGTGCTGCTAGATCACCAAAAATAATTCACTTGTGTTTACATTTTCTTTGTGTGGTATTCAAGGGACTAATATTTGTATTTACTGCTCATCCCTTTCTTTATTGATCTGCGTTCTTTCCTTTTTCATTTATCTAAACATGTATTTATTGCTGATTAAAAGGTAGTCGAGATGCACTACCTGCCTCTTCACACATCAGACATATCAACACTAGCATTCCAAGGAGGTTCCTCATCCAACCACACCAACGCTCAATAACTTTCAGCACTTCTGGATGCAAGACGATACAAGCAGTCCCTAAAGCAGACTGGCCTTTGGGTTTTAGGCTAAGTTTGCCAATCTTTGCCCCACTTGTAGACTGGGATGTGTTGTTAGCTCATGATGGGTCATTAGCTTCACACCATCCCGATTTTATGCCACTAAACTCATCTGATGTGAGGCTGGATTTGATGCATTGCTGTACTGATCTACAAATGCTCAGAATTAGTGATTCCACAGGGCTTTTTCTTTCAATACTAAACCATCTTGTTTATTAAAATACAATTTCTGTCTTGGGGACTTGTTCAGCCACATTTTATGTTTTCATGCAACACGTGATACTTCTCCAGCCACTACTGATTTCCTTTCTTTGAGGCCCTGTAAGAGCAGTAGGGTTAGGTTCACTAACTGTTGAAGGGTCAGGTCACTGACATTCTAGCTGCTTTTTCATACTTGGTGACCTCCGGTTGCTGAGCCAGGTATATATAAGGCACACAACTCTTGGGCTCTACCTGCTAGCTACTTGAAAATTGAACTACTGCAATGATACTCCCAAAGCAAACTTTACTTTGGTTTGGCATGAGGTACAAGGCAATTCAGAAATTGGCTCTCTCTGAAAGTTCTCCTTTCCTTGTTATTTCCTTCCAAGAATGTTTAAAAAAAAAAAAAAAAAAAAAAAAAAACTTTACTTTGGTTTGGCATGAGGTACAAGGCAATTCAGAAATTGGCTCTCTCTGAAAGTTCTCCTTTCCTTGTTATTTCCTTCCAAGAATGTTTTAAAAAAAAAAAAAAAAGAAAAAAGTCCTCCACTTTTAAATTGCTGTGCACTCACCTAAGTGAACTACCCTCATACTGAATGTATTTCCAGTGAACACAGCTCAGAAAACATTAGTAAATTCAAAATAATCAAGATGGCAAGCAGTGTCTCTCAAGGAATATATCATGACAGACATAATGTCCCAGAGCATGAACTTTCTTCCTACGTTAAATTGCTGTTCACTGAGCTGGAGACTGAAACAAAGTTAAACAGGTTTTTTAAGCAAGCATTTATCACCTGACTACCATTTCACCTATTTCAGGATTCACATTAGGACCTTATTTTAACATAAAGGTGGAATTTCCATGCACTTAGAAAAAGATTAGAATTATGTTTGTTTTTTTTTTTTCCCAAAAGCCTTCTCTGCAGGTAATACACTGTCCCTGGAAAAAGTTTCATAACAATAGAGCATGCAAGTAATTCAAAAAGGTGAGTTATTTTTCCAAAGTTTATGCACTAAATGCAAGTGAATTACAATAGACGGGCCTTTTCAGGAGGAACACGTATTGACATCTTCAGACAGTAGCAGCAGCCTTTGAATTTTCACTTCAACTACTGCTTAGAAACGACACTGTCAGAAAGGAAACACCTACTGTGCGCCTTCACTTGCCTTCTGATCCCTTATTAGTTAACCCTGAAGTGCATATGTATACAGCCTTAATCCCCAAGTGAGTATCTGGACCAGGGGAAATCTGGAATTAATTGCGAAGTATTTTGGTTACTAATGCAGCTGTTACAAGTGTTTGATTTGGCAAGGGAACAGAAAAGGCACTGCATACCAATTTCGTGAGCCACTGTAAAAGCTGCATGGAGGCCGTCATCTTCAATCACTGCACAGCTGCGCTCAGGAGAGCATATGGTCCCAACGTCTGCCATTCCCAGAGTATCACATGAATGATGCCCACATAAATCCTGCCCAGGAAGGAAAAAAAAATAAAATCATTAAATTAAATTTTTACACCCACAGGTAACAACAGGTTAGTCACCAGCCCTTTGCAAACAGCAGAACCTGGATAAAAACCATCAATATATGGTTCCATCTAAAGATACCAGTGCAGTTTAAAAGCATGATGACCCAATCCCATCTCAGGTAAAGAGTCAGTGAAAATAGTTTCATTGACTTTAACAGGATTCGGATACTTTCTGTAATTAATTATTCTTGGTTTGTATTTCTGAAACACATACAGAAGCTTAAACTTGCACTGAGGTAAGTACTCAAAATACATGCTGTAAAAGCATTTCTTCATTGACAATAAAACCAGAAGAAGGTGAACCAAGTCACAGAGCGAAAGCTTCCTTGAACCACAGATCACCTTTCTTTTCAAAAGGCAACCCTTATACTTGTACTTCAAGGAATGAGATTATTATATATTAAACCTCTATGTCACACCTGTCAAGTAGTATTATGATTAATAACGTATTACCCAATATGCCAAGTATTTAAGCAATTCTCAAAGGCTGCTTAAAGAGTCAGTGATATGACAGCGCATAAACCCCCTTGATTCCTAGTCTGACTAGTGCAACAGCTTGATCACGTTTCCTACTTGTAGATATGGGCTGTCTCCTAAAACTATACAGGTAGCATCATTCCAGGATGATAGTGATAATGATAATGGCAGCTTTGGTCAGACATACTGTGTTTTGATAATCAGTAATAACTTTTTAATGCTTCTACTGAAGCAGAGGGAAGAATACAAGCCTGAATGTACATATATATGCTTTTTTGTTTAAGAAGGAAAAACAGGTGCCATGACATTTGGAACACTCCTAGACATTTCACTGTGGTTGAATGAAAATGTCACTTTCAAGATATGACAGTATTATCAAATGTTATTATCAAAATGATCAAAGAGTACCTTTTTCCCTTCATTTTTAAGACTCTCTTCTTCCCTTGAGATCTCCTTTTATAATGACTTTCTTTCATGAAGCCTTTCATAATTAATCCATCTGAATAACAGATACCCTGTATGACACTCTAGGTCAACAACATTCACTGATTATGAGTTTCAAATTTAGGCAAACCTGAAAACGCACAGGATTCAAATCCCACTAAAGTCAAAGAAAAACACACTGGGTTCACAGATACTGTGACAGAGCACCTCTTTACAAAAAGAAAAAAAAAAGAAAAAGAGTATTTTTTTTTCCCCTCCCAGGTTGAAATTAAGAGTTTTTCAAGCTAAAATTACATAGCAACATTACATATATGGAACAAGAATCCAGGATCAGTTTTTCTGGTTTCCAGGTGTCTGGGAACTCTTTGGTAAGTGCACTCTTGGTGCTACTTAATGTCAAGATTTCAACGTTGCAGTACCAATGGACAAAACAGTCTCACAAAAAAAGAAAAGGAATAAAGTTCAAAAAGTACTTCAATTCCCAAATTTTCACAGGTATTATCCATGGTTTAAGAAGAACTTCCATTCTGTAGCAATGCAGATAATATGCAGGGAATTTTCTGTCTAACCCCATGGGCTCCCACCCTTGACATCCAATTAGCTCCCCAGATTTTGCTTCTGGCCCTGCATGGGTTATGGGAAGGTACAGAAGAAGGACAGCCAGTTTCAAGTACTTTAAAAGGAATGAAATTTTTTTTCAGTTTTATTTGGGCAAGTAAACTTATCATTTGCAGAATCTCGGGACCAATGTTGGAAGAGGCTCTGAGTGAGATCATATTACTATAGTGTCTATCATCTGGGGCATATTCAACAAGGAAGATGCAATCCTTAAGCTCCTGTTACTTTTGCTTAGGTTCATATCCATTTAGCCTTTTATTTATCACTTCTGAACCCGGCCCTTTCAGTCTAAGGACATGTTTTACACAGAGCACGTTCCATGTAAAAGTAAGTGGTTTACCTACAGCAGGACGAGTAACAAAACCCAGAAAAAACCTATGTGCATAGTACCAATAAAAATACCTTTTCATGATGATATAATCAGCCTAAATAAATGACTGTGAGCTGTATAGGAAGTAAGATACTTTTATACTAGTGCAATTTGAACTGAATCCACACAAGTAGTTGAATTGGAATTCTGACACAAGTACCAAAAAGCACATAAATCAGACAGAAAGCAGCTTACTGGAACAGGTCTAAATTACACTCAGGTTGATAGTGCCAAGGGTAGTATAAAACACATTAATTAATTCAGGCCTTGTCTCTGCATGCAGATTTTGTGTCATTTGGTCTTTTCTTGTATCTGGGTGTCACTATTACGTAGATACTTACATCAGTACTAGTCCCAGTACGGGCACAATTATATTAGCCCCCAGATGTCTTATGTCAGTGCTTGATTTATTTCCATTTGCAAAGAAGAAGAAACTATGCCAGTGATATGGTATGAAGCCATACCAGCACATGCAAACAGACCTCACAATGGTTCTCCAGATCTGATGACACAAGTATAATTAAAAGAATACAATCTTTCTAAGCAGAGAATTTCACAAACTACGGAAGAGTTACTTTTTATGGGATGTGTGGAGGTTGAAAAATTATGACAGGGATGTTAACCGTAAGCAGCCCTTTTGACTCTTGGCTGGTTAGTAATCCTGACCTCAACATTTCCAAAGCTATGCACAGGATTGCATTATGCCACATTCATTAGACATCAAAAAAAAAAAAAGCAAGCAAAAAAGCTATGTACATATACAAGCACTAAAGGACATAGCAAAGTTTGGTTACTTTTCATATGTTACATGTTACTGACTTTTTACCACGCTGCACGCCCGGGTTTTCTTAAGAACTCCAGTCACTTCATCAAACCACTGTTCCTCCATTTCCATCATTTCCCAGAGAGTATGACATGTGTCCACACATTTCAACATCCCACTAGCAACTTTTAGGGCCGTGCTCATCTCTTTAACAGTTGTCTAGACAAAACGAAACAAGCTTTACACTTTCTTTATGAAATACCTTAATTTTGATTCAGATACAATGCATTTCTTGAAGAGCTGCATTAGTTAAAGGTTGCTCCCAGGAAATCCCACAACAGAAGATAAGTGATTCTGAAAATTGCTTATCTGTAAAATTACCTAGCTCCTCCAACATCCCAGGGGCAGTTGTTCTCCAGCTCTCCCTGGGGTGTTGGAGGTGCTCGGTAATTTTACATGACACCCAGATGGTGTGAGACCAACGATCCCCGTAAGGGAGAATAGAGGAGAACAACTTCCCTGTGGTCAGAAAGTGGTGGACAGTGCCAGAGTAAAGCTCCATCCTCTTCAGCCAACAGGGTGACCACCTCCGTGCTGCCTCCCTGGCAAGGCAAGGTGGCCTGGGCAGCCCTGCAGCTGCCTCCTGAACCCCAGCTGGGCAGCAGCTGAGGAAACTTGTAAAGGGTCTTGGAAATATTTTCTGGCCTTGCTTCTTTGAGGGACGTCTACGGGTTGCCAACCTCCTGGTAGAGCAGGGGACGCGTTGGCTATCCTTTGAATAGAGAACATGTGCTGAGCCCTCTGGGTTTTGCTGCAGACTCCTCCGCGACTGCACAAGAATCATAGAATCATAGAATCATAGAATGGTTTGGGTTGGAAGGGACCTTAAAGATCATCGAGTTCCAACCCCCCTGCTATGGGCAGGGACACCTCCCACTAGACCAGGTTGCTCAAATAGCCATCCAGCCTGGCCTTGAACACCTCCAGTGATGGGGCATCCACGACCTCCCTGGGCAACCTGTTCCAGTGCCTCACCACCCTCACTGTAAAGAATTTCTAATGCATTTTTTTTAAGCTAATGCTGACATTATCAATAATCACTTGGGCTGATTATGGAAGACTCAGCTCCATTATGTTCTCAACCGATATTCTCATTTATTCTCTATTTCTCTTTCCTCTGCATGAGTTGAACTTTAATATATTTCTATTCATAGCATCACATAGTATAAAGTATACACATAATTAAAGCCTATAAAGTGGCATCCCTGAGACAAATATTCTGAGAATTTTGCTATCAGGTCAACTCACCATTCCGTAGCTACATGGTCTCTCCCTACACCACGATTTCGAGTGACATTATTGAAAGGCACACCTGGTTACACTTTCACTGATTTAAAACTTTATGGCAACATTTCTTTTGACTTACACCTCCTGTAGCTGTATCGACCATGGATTATTTGTTACCAGCATCAATAGCCAATTTTTAGTTTTCTTGGGCAGTCTTGGAAAGCAGTCTCAGACTTTTATGAAATAAAGATTCTGGGAGTACATTAAAAGTTTTGAGTTCCCTTGAAAATAATTTTTTTTTTTTTCAAGGCAGGCCCAGATGTAATGAAGCAATCTAAAAAATCTGTGTGGATCTCCTCAACTTTTCTTACTTCAGCTAAAGCACTAAGAAAGCGGGAACTCACATGACACTTAAAATTATTTTCCAATTATTATTTCACTCTGGTGTGTGGCTTCTATTTAAAAAGTTAATCACATACTCAGATCTGTCTACTAATTTAATTGTCTCCAAATAGCAGCAGAAGCTTTGAAGAATAAGTGTTTCTTGGTATTTCTAAAGAAGGAATCCAGAGTCTGGCCCTTAATCTGCATTACAGGAGTTTCAAAATAAAAGAATGACTAGGAAATTCATTTGTTACATGGGAAGTAATAGATGTTAGGACTTAAGCTTTGGCATAGGAATGACTTAGGAAAAGTGAGCTGTACATCATAAGACTAGTAATTAATTAGACAGCTCATTAAAGGCCAAGTTTTCTTGGCATTTGTAAGTACGTCAAGAGCAGCTGGCTGTTTGCCATGTATACGTGGCATTGTTGTGAATGAAGATAACTGTCGTGGCTCCCTGCTGGAGCAGCTAATTTATTTTACCTGAAGTTCTTTGATTTGTGCAGTAGGCTTAAAAACAAGAATAAACTGTTTTGTGAAACCTGGTATTAGGCCAGAGCCCGTGGATTTGATCCAACACAGGATTTAAGCATCACCA